AGGGGGAAAGGGAAATATTAAAGGGGGAAAGGGAAATATTAAAGGGGCAAAGGGAAATAATAAAGGGGACAAAGGGAAATAATAAAGGGGACAAAGGGAAATAAGGGGAAAAGAAGATCCAGTGTCACTGCCCTGGCCCATGGCCATAATTCCTCGGGGAGGAGGCAGGTTTCCCAAGGTTTTAGTACTTTCCCAATGCCAAATATCTCATATTTGACACGGGAGAAGATCAACTCACAGGAATGGAAGAGAAAAAAATCCCACTTTGACACCACCAGGCCAAGAGCAACTTGCCAGGTGAGTGAATTCCCGTGTTCTCCAAGGTGTCCCTTTCCCATACCTTGTGCCTTTGGAGGGATCCTGGTCAGGGTGTCCACGGAGCCCTTCAGTGTCCTGAGTTCTGAGGGGGAAAACTCAACTTCCCTGATGGGTCCTCGGGGGAGAAAAGGAGCCAAAATGGTGCCAGGGGACTGGTCAATGCCAAGGTTACGGAGATATATCTGGCAAAAGAAGGAATAAGAAACACTTGGAGAATGGGGATGGATTCTGGAGTTGTAGGATTTTGTTATTCCAGTGCTCTGGACGCTGCAGGAGTTGGATAACTCAGGGGAGGTTGGGGAACTTCACCCTCACCTGTTTAAAATGACATTTCCCAGTTGGGAGGAGAACACAAAGGTTTGGGTTAAAAAGCTTTTTTCCTCCCCAGACAGCACAGAAAACTCGATTAGACTTGGAAATTCGAGGCAGGGAAGTTCCTCTTTTCAGAGGATAAGTTTGTCTGAGGTAAATAGCTGGGAACAGTTTTGTCAGAGCTGGTTAAAAACCACCATGAAGCAGTTTTTGTGGGGAATCAGAGAATCAGGGAATGGTTTGGGTTGGGAGGGACCTTAAAGGTCATCCAGTTCCAGCCCCTGCCATGGGAAGGGACACCTTCCACTAGCCCAGGTTGCTCCAAGCCCCATCCAACCTGGGTTTGGACACTTCCAGGGATCCAGGGGCAGCCACAGCTTCTCTGCCCAACCTGTGCCAGGCCCTCCCCACCCTCACAGCCAGGAATTCCTTCTTCATATCCAACCTAAACCTACTCTCTTTCCATTTAAAGACATTTCCCCTTGTCCTGTCACTCCATCCCTTGTCCAAAGTCCCTCTCCAGCTCTCTTGGAGCCCCTTCAGGCACTGGAAAGGCACAATTAGGTCACCCCAAAGCCTTCTCTTTACCAGGTTGAACAATCCCAATTCTCTCAGCCTTTCCTCATAGGAGAGGTGCTTCATCCCTCCTTTCCCTCCAGCTCAGATCAGGAGACAAACACCCTCCTGCAATTATTCAGCACCTCAGACCCACATGCCAGAGAACACTGACTGAGGGGACACCCTCCCTGAATCCTTGGGAGAGATCTGCAAAACCAGGAACCCCAGAAACGAGATCCACTGGGATATAACCCACTCCCAACCAAATCATAGAGTCATGGAATGGTTTTGGTTGGAAGGGACCTTAAAGACCACCCAGTTCCACCCCCTGCCATGGGAAGGGACACCTTCCACTAGCCCAGGTTGCTCCAGCCTGGCCTTGGACACTTCCAGGGATCCAGGGGCAGCCACAGCTTCTCTGCCCAACCTGTGCCAGGGCCTCCCCACCCTCACAGCCAGGAATTCCTTCCCAATATCCCACCTAAATCTCCTCTTTTCCACTATGAAGCCATTCCCTCTTGTCCTGTCCCTTCATCCCTTGTCCCCAGTCCCTCTCCATGTTTCCTGTTGGCTCCTTCAGCTCCTGGAAGGCCACAATTAGGTCATTCCAAATCCTTCTCTTCTCCAGGCTGCACAATCCCAGCTTTTCCATCCTTTCCTCACAGGAGTTGCTCCATCCCTCTGATCCACTCGTCCTGGTCAAGGGGCAAAATCACCTTCTACTGTCCAAGAATAACTTAATTAAGATTAAACTGATTAGTTTAGAGAAGCCAAAGGAAAATCAAACCCTAAAACTGTGACATACCAGAGAAAAATGTTATGAAGACGAGCCCAACTTTCCTGGGAAAACACCAGGAGATTGTCAAGTCAGACACACACAGCAGCATTCCCTGAGTTAATGGATTCTGAAGGAGTCTCATGCAGGTTAAGAACCTACCAAAGGTCGTTTAGGACCTTCTGAGGAAGCATTTTTTCCAAGTTTACATACAGATATCATCTGCATCAAAAAAGAACCCAAAATTTTCTTGGATTTAATCCTCTGCAGAAGCAAATTCATTTCAACTCATCCATCCTATGTCCTAAACATGCCAAGAAAATGCAATTAATTACTTCATGGATGGTGGCCAACTCTATTTCCTCTGATATTATTCTAAACCTACATACTAACAGCCACAGAAGTGACCTGATCTCCTTTACCTTGTGATTTCTGGGAGCAGAATTCTTCAGAAACAGGGCTCCAAACTAGGCCTAATCATAATCATAAACACAAACCACCGTTGTATCTCCTGAATTTGGTTTCAAACACCATCCCTAACAATATTTATATTTGTTTCAACACCTCTTTGCAAAGAAAACAGAGTGGAAAAAAAAGCTTTTAAAACCCAGCCCCAAAGAGCTGATTATTATGGGAGTCATCCTGTGAGAGGAGCAGCCTCTCCCTCAGGGGATGATGACACGTTTCTCATTAGCATAAATCTGCATCTCATTTTCTCCACCACTCAAGAGCCATTAGCAGAGTTAAGAGGGTTGCTTCTCCATCCCCTTCCACCTTCCCAAAATAGGGAAGAAACCTGGATTAGAAAAGGAAGGCAGAAAGGAGGGAAGGTATGAAGTGGCTCTGAATGTCTTTTAGGAACAATACGGAAAGAATTAAGAGTTTAGGGCCTTAGAAAGTGGAACAAAGTGAACAAGCAAAATGGGTATTTATGGGAAATAAAGAGATTTCATTCCCAAGGATTTCTGTGGTGGGTTTGCTATTCCTGCAGAGCTGTGGGGGTGTGGAGTTCAGTTCTCCTGCCTTTCCTTACTCAGCACTCGAGTCTCAGCCTGCTGTTTGGATAATTATAACCTGAGCTTCTGAAAGGAGCTGGAAGACCAGGAATGGCACATCAGGGATCTGCTGGAAGAGCTACAACCAAATTATTCACAAGATTTCACTTTTTTATCACTATCACGGAAACATGGAATGATTTGGCTTGGAAGGGAACTTCAGGATCATCTCATTCCAACCTCCTGCCATGGGCAGGGACACCTTCCACTAGACCAGGTTGCTCCAATCTGGCCTTGGACACTTCCAGGGATCCAGGGACAGCCACAGCTTCTCTGGGAAACCTCTGCCAGGGCCTCACCTCCCTCACAGCCAACAATTCCTTCCCAATATCCCACCTAAATCTCCCCTTTTCCACTATGAAGCCATTCCCCCTTATTCTGTCCCTCCATCCCTTGTTCCAAGTCCCTCTCCAGCTCTCCTGGAGCCCCTTCAGGTACTGGAAGGTGCTGGAAAAAGAGATAACTCTAAAAAAAAGGATAACTCTGAAAAAAATAAATGGATAACTAAAATAAAATAAATGGATAACTAAAAACACACTTACTGGGATCCTTTCTTCAATATCCAACTCTTGTTTCTGCGGAGTTTCCAAAGGAGTTGCTCCACCAGGGAGGAAGTTGTCACCTCCTGCACTGGGGAAGTGCCTGGAGACCCCTCCGGAGCTCCGAGTGGATCCCAAACCCCCCTGGCTGCTCCCCCCGGAACTAACGGGAACGTTCAAACTATCCGGGGAAATCGCCCCCGAGTTGTCCAGGATGATGGGACCAGTGGGAATATTCAGGTTGAGACACCGATTTTCGGGAGCATCCCAATTCTTCCCATCACCAGCTGCAGAGCTTCCATCCTTTTTATGGAGCTGAGCAACGCTGGAAACCGAAACATCGGGATCGGAGCTTTGTCCCGTGTTGTTATTTTCCGTGTCTTCACCACTGGATCCAGAAACAACCTTCTGGATCGTGGAGCCTCCTAAATTATTGTCCAACACTCCTAAAACATGGTTTTTTTCTTCTGGAAGCTGCAGTGCCTCTGTGGAATTTGCTGGTGGAATAACTCCAGCCAAGGAACGTTTCCTGCTGGAAACGTTCACGGCGTTGTCCGACTGGGATCTCGTAAGGGGGGGGACAAGCAGGAAGTTTTTACTTGGGAAATGCAAACTTCCCAGAGAACCTGTCTCCCTAGGGGGAGCAGCAGCAAAATCCTCGGGATCTCTGCTGCTTTTCTGGATGGACAAAACGTCGCTGGAGGGAATGGCAATGGCACTGGAGGCTTTTCTTCCAGGAGAAAATCCACCGGGAATCCCGGCATGAGGAACCTCCTCTGGTTGGCTCACGTTCCAAGATCCAACCTTCTCCATGAAACTAAGGGATGGGAGGGACTGGATTCTTCCAGTGTGGGGATATTTCCATTTGAAGGGCTCCAAATGTTCCTTGTTTTCCTTCGGAGTACGTCGGGGTGAATGTTGCTTCCCAGGGGATACGGGTGAGTTCCCTGAAGGAACATCAGAACACGATGGAGAGACCCGGAGATCCGACTGGATCACCAGGACACCGAGTTCTTCCGCCTTCACGTCCTTCTTCAGGAGCATCCCTGGAGTGGACTGAAAGATAGGATGAGCAAAGCGTAGGGAGAACGAGGCATCACCTCCCAGATTGAAGGAAGGGGAAATGTCTGTGACTTTATGGCCCCTTTCTATGGAAAAATCCGAAGCAGTTAATTCATTCCCGCTCCCTCCGGGATCCGCTCCCGCCGGAGATTCCTCACTGCACGGAGGCGTCTCCGTGTCAACAACCGGTTGTCCAGCTGCACAATCCTTGGTGTTCATCACAGCAGGGATCGACTCCTCTTTCCCAAATCCCACTGCAGGAGGGGGTTGTTTGCGCTGACGATCCAGGAGTTCCTCAGGAACAAACTTCAAGCTTCCGGAGCCGTTTAAATCCACTCCACGTCCCTTGGACATTCCTTTGCCTGGCTCAGAAGTCATGGCAGAAAGAACATCGGGAGCACCTGGATTTTTAAAGTGGTCGTTCCTCGAGTCACCGGACGAATTATTCGACAAATCAAGCTCAGGGACCTTCTTTTCCAGCTTTTCCAGGACTCCTCCCTCGCTCCCGACCGTTTTCACCTTTTCCTTTTGCATCTCCCTCTCGCTTTTTTCCGTCAGAGCTGTTTTGTAGGAGGAATTTCCTGAAGATGAGAACTCCTCCTGCCTCAGGAACTCCTTCCCTTTCCCTGGAAGCTCAACACCAGCAGCTGGACCATCGTTGTCACCGGAGGAATGTCCATCGTTCCCAGATGTGCTCCGGGGCTCCGGCGGGAGAGAAGCTCCCGCTTGGTTCGGCCTCTTTTCCAGCACCACCTTTGGAGTAGAGTTTGTGGGATCTTCACTTGTTTGGGGACTTGACTCCTCCTCATCAGTTTTCCAGGATTTATTGGCCTCCTGGCTCCCGAGTTGTCCAGACGAGGAGTTTTGGGAAGACAAAATGGCACCTCCGGGATCGGCGCGTCCGGATGGAAGGGGAGGTTGGGACAAGGAGCAGCCACTGGGAGCATCCAAGGGAGGGGTTGTGTCCCTCCGGGATGCAGATTCACGGATGTGGGAAGGCTCCAAAAGCTCCTGGGACACTCCAGAAACATCAGGAATTCCTCTGGAAGAGGCAAGAAAAGGAAGTGAATTTCTCATTATCCTTTTCATCTCAATATCCTGATTTTCTGCTTTAATATCACGGGGAAAAGCAGAACTTCCCTTAAACAAATACCTGGGGTTTAGCAAAATACACAAAAAAAAATCCCATCTACATGGCCCAAAACCTGAAGAAATAGAAAAAAAGAAATACTAAAAATGCCCTACAAAATAATAATAAAATATTTTAAAGTGTTTATAAAATTCTTATTTATATACATCTAATATTTATTTATAAATATTATACTGATGGTATAAGTAATTACAAAATATTCCTATTTTATTCAATAATTGATGATTTTATAACTGATTGTAAAATACTGTGTTAACATTATTATAATATGTATGTGCAATAATATTACCTATAAACATTATATTTTTATTTTAAAGTATATTTATATATTTTATAAATAATGTTAACACAATTATTGAATAAAATACCTTGAGTTTAGCAAAATACATAAAAAACATCCCCTAAATGGCCCAAAACCTGAAGAAATATAAAAAAAGAAATACTAAAAATGCCCTATAAAATAATAATAAAATATTTTAAAGTGTTTATAAAATGCTTATTTATATACATCTAATATTTATTTATAAATATATAGATGGTATAAGTAATTAGAAAATATTCCTATTTTATTCAATAATTGATAATTTTATAACTGATTGTAAAATATT